ATAAAATTTCTTAATGAAACAGCAATAGAGGGATTGTCTTCAATCTGATATGGTCATCTCTTAAGATCTTTAGCTAATATCACATTTAATGATGAAAAACTGGATATTTAAACCCAATTTGAGAAAAAAAAATAAACTATTTGTTTTCAATGCCTTTTCCCCCAAATCTTCACCCTGTTGGGTAGATCTGCTCTTAGACTTGGAAATTATAGTGTCTCTTGGTAATTGATTCTGTGCATAGCTAGACAGAAGAAACTCTAAAAAGCACTTCCTATGGGCTTTTTCCTTGTAACAGCTACTGTTATAATTATTTACACATATTGTATTAGTTAACTCTTGGATAAACTCATATATATATGCATGTGTGTGTATATATATATATATATATATATATACATACATGTGTGTATATATATATGCATGTGTGTATATATATTAGATAATAACATATAATACACACACACACACACACACACACATGCACACACATGAGTTTATACTCTTTTTTTTACATGTGAGAAAACTGATGTTCCTAAAAGTAAAGAAATACATTTTAAGTGGTACACACCTGTAATACCAGTGACTTGGGAGACTGAGGCAAGAGAATCACAAGTTCAAAGCCAGCCTCAGCAATGGCAAGGTACTAAGCGACTCAGTGAGACACTGTCTCTAAATAAAATACAAAATAGGGCTGGGTATGGGGCTCAGGGGTTGAGTGTCCCTGAGTTCAATCCCAAGTACCAAACACACACACACACACACACACACACACACACACACACACACAGAAATATATTTGAATCTTGGAACTTATAAAAGATGAAACTAAATTTCTTTTTTTTAAAAATGTATTTATCCTAATTTGTTATACATGACAGTAGAATTCATTTCAATAGAGCATAATTTTTCATGTCCTTTAAGTTATTCACAAAGTGTAGTCACACCATTTGTATCTTCATACATGTACTTATGGTAATGATGTCCATCTCATTCCATCATTTTTCCTACCCCCATGCTCTCTCCCTTCCCCTCCCTCTCTTTTGCCCTATCTAAAGTTTCTCCATTCCCCACATGCTCCCTTCCATCCCCATTATGCATCAGCATCCACACATTAGAGAAAACATTTGGACTTTGGATTATGGGGATTGGATTACTTCACTTAGCATAATATTCTCCAACTCCATCCATTTCCCTGAAAATGTCATGATTTTATTTTATTCTCTTTGAATGCTGAGTACTATTTCACTGTGTATATATACCACAATTTCTTTATCCATTCATCTATTAAAGAGCATCTAGGTTGGTTCCACAATTTAGCTATTGTGAATTGTGCTGCTATAAACATTGATGTGGTTTCATCACTGTAGTATGCTGTTTTTAAGTCCTTTGGTTATAAACCAAGGAGTGGGATAGGTGGATCAAATGGTGGTTCCAAGTTTTCCAAGGATTCTCCATACTGTTTTCCATATTGGTTGCACCAATTTGCAGTGTGCCTTTCCCCCCACATCATTGCCAACAGTTGTTGTTTGTATTCCTAATAGCTTCTTAATAGCCAAATGGTGCTGGGAAAACTGGAAATCCATATGCAGCAAAATGAAATTAAGCTCCTATCTCTCACCATGCACAAAACTCAACTCAAAATGGATCAAGGACCTAAGAATTAAACAAGAGACCCTGTCCATAATAGAAGAAAAACTAATCACATTGGATTAGGCCCCGACTTCCTTAATAAAACTCTTATAGTACGATAATTATTATCAAGAATCAATAAATGGGTTGAATTCAAACAAAAAGCTTCTTCTCAGGAAAAGAAACATTCAGTGAGGTGAATAGAGCACCTACAGAATGGGAGCAAATTTTTACCATATATATCCTAGAGCCCTAATCTCTAGGATATATAAAGAACTCAAAAAACTTAACACCAAAAAATCAAATAACCCAATCAATAAATGGGCCAAGGAACTGAACAGGCACTTCCCAGAAAATAATATACAATCAACAAATGTGAAAAAATGTTCAACATCTCCAGAATTAGAGAAATGCAAATCATAACTACTTTAAGATTTCATCTCACTCCAGTCAGAATGAAACTAAATTTCTAATGCAGGTACATCTATCAAACTCTATTTCGATCATTTACTCATTCCTATCATTTAAAGCAACTTTAGAATTATGAAATTCTAGAACTACTTAATTGTATTCTTTTTTGAATGATCTTTATTATTTAGGATTCATAATTTCTTCTTATAGGAAAAAAATCTTTCAACTTTTAAAAAGCGTTAAAATCTATCACAGATCATTTGAAACAATTTCTATCAACTCAGAACAAGCACTGCTGATTGATACAGGGAATATATTATACAGGTTGGTTCCCAAATAAGAAACATATATTATAGCACTGCACTCTAAGTGCAAAATATTAGCTCTTTAGCAGTCACTGCTACTACATTTATCTTACAAATTTCTATATTTTGTATTTCTGGGTATTGCTCATGAATCCCTTGTTTTGTTTCTGTATGAGACTTATTTTTCTTTGGAGAATATCCTACAGCTCTGATGAAGTTAACATGTTTCTCAGTGGATATACACTTATTACTGCTTCTATATTCCTAAGGGTACAAATAAAAATAGGTTTATTGCTTTTCAGATTATAGAGAGATTTTATATTTTATGAATTGGACTTTATGATTTTATTCCATAAATATCACAGAAACTTTTTGCCCTCTGTTTTATAGCAGAAAAAAGTACATTTTATTATTCCTACTCCATATGTTAAATTACTGATTTCTATTAATGAAGCAACTCTTCTCAGAACTTTACTCAGAATCACACTTTAAAGAACAAATCAGAGCAGTTCTTGATTTACAGCCTTATTTTTCAGAATAACAAGGTGTAATCAATGGGTTGAGATGACAATTTTCTCAGCTAATGTGACTTTAACTCTTATATATTCAAAAGTTATATAACTATATATTTATATATTTATGAGTGTGTATGTGTATAAAAGTTATACACATACACACTCATAAATATTTGTGGGTTCCTTTTCACATTTCATTTAAAAATATATATGCAAAAGTGTTTTTTGTATGGTATGAGAATAGATACAATTTCTTTCTATCAGGATTATCAATCCATTTGTATTATTGAAAAGATTATTCCTACACTCACTCCCACCTTCAGTGACCTGTTGTGTGACCTATGTTTCCTATATGTATAGATCTTATGTAGGGTACTCCATTCTCTTCCATCAGTTGGCTTGATATTTATCAACCTTTGTACCCATAATGTAATATTTTAATTGCTACAGTTTGACTTTTCTCAAAATGTATATTTCCAAGAATTTCTTGCCTATTCCTAGACTTTTTACTTGCAAATAAAATTCATATCAGCTTGTCAAAACAAGTTTGTCAAAATAAAGTTTGAGATTTTCAGTGGAATTGCTTTATATCTATATACCATGTGTCTATTTTTATAAGTAGGTATACATTTAGAGATTTATATATATATATATATATATACATATGCTTATGAATAATACACACACATATATATAATTTAAAAGCATAAGGCATTACATATATATGGTGTGATGAAGCAAATGATATCATACTATATTAAGATCATCACTTTGTCCGCAAAGGAAATGATAATTAGTAATTTGTTACTAATTATGATGACTTTGATGTGTTAAACTTGCATCTGTGATCTTTTATTAACAGATTACTCTGGGGATGTTAACTCCTTTGCACTTTAATGTTTGCCTATGCACCAGAATGGCTCGGTGGGATGCAAAAGGTGAGTCATTTGTTGGCAAAAGAGAAGCCTTGCAGCAAAAAATTTAAAAAAATGGTCTGACATATAGCCAAACAAGGTACTGCCAGGCTACGTCTGCCACCCCAACAATTAGAGGAAAATGATGGGCAAGGAAAGTGGAGATGGTTCGAAAAGCATGCTTAATTAATGTATCTAATAATATAGACTTATAATTTATGAAGCTAAATTAAAATAAACAAAAAAAAACCTGATAAATCCAAAGTCACAGTGAAAAATTTAGTGTAATTGTGTCAGTTTAGATAGCACATACAGGCAAACAAGATGTTAGTAAGTATATCAGAGATTTGATAAATCTAGTTAAGAGACATGATTTAGTTGACTCATAAAACATTGATTCCAAAAATGGAGAAAAATTATTTTTAAAATACATGTGTTCTGTATGCCAAACCAGTAAACTATATGCTTGGTGATAAAACAATTTTAATAAGTATTTTTTTTAAATAGGGATTGAATTCAGCCACCGAGGCACATCCTCAGCTATTATTTTTTTTTGTGTGTATATTTTATTTTGAGACAGGGTCTCTCCAGGAGGCAGAGCTTCATAATGTTAGCATTGCCTTACACAGAATCTAGCTGAACTCTCATTGGAAAATGACAGTGTAAATAATCTGTTGATTATAATAGTGTTGATGAGTGCAGAATAAATTGTAACCTTAAAAAATATGGTAAAACTCATGCTCCTCTGTGAAGAAGTTAAGAGAAAACAAGGGGTGGGACATGCAGGGCCTTAGGTGGTTTCCCCTATTCAATAGTTACTTTGGAGGATCATTTGTCATATCTCACAGTAAAGTTAGGAAGCATGGAAGTTAGTTACAAGTAAAACCAAGTGGTCAGGGGTCATGAACTGAGAGAGATTTTGAAGGACATATCCAAAAGTTATTTAAATTTTCTGCTTTATCCAGGGTTTGAGAGATCTGATCATAGAGTTATCTTTATATGTGAATACAGGAGTGGAGAAGTAATAATGTTAACAGAAATCATACCTATTATCTCCTTGGAGGAATGGAAAAAGGCAGCTAATAACAGACAATTATGTACTTAGTAATCTAGGCAAAGTCACATATAGTCTTTGCTACTTATCTCTGGAGATTATCTTCTGAAACAGGCAGACTAACAGATCAACTAAAACACTATGGCCTACTTAAGTTAATATGCAAGTCCCATTAGTTATGATAAAATTGCATTTAATGTGATCCAAACTTTTGGTAAAACAAGAGCTTAACATCTGTAGAAGATCAACATCATGCAGGTAAATATATCAAACAGAAGACTACAACTAAAAAAATCAGTCATTGCTTGGCTCTGCTTGTCCATTTGATCTTCAGTTTCAGAGTGATTCCTGGTTCACAGAAGCAGGCCTTTCCAGGCTAATGTGCCTTTTTTCTGGACCCTTTTTAATCTGGTGTAAAGTATCCAAGGAGTTATACCTGACAATTTAAGAGAAGAGTAAGTCATTAGTAAAATTAAGTAAAACCCTGTTCAAATTGACTTAAGCTTGTCCTGGGGGAGACTCTGACATCCAGGTTTTTAAATTACCCAATCTCCTGATTCATAAGGAATGGAGTGTTATCTCTGTAAAATACCTATTTAGGGAAGACATTACCTGTTAGTACATTACCTGTTGATTATGTTTTTTGTTGCCAGTTCAACCTCCACAGCAGGGTGTATTCCAGACCTGAATCCTCGTGGAGAGGATCTTCCATAAAATACAACATCTCAAATGATTGGCTCTGATGCGTGTTAGAGTTTTAACCAAATGACTGAGGTCTCCATGCCATAATATGTAATCTTCATTGTATTCTAAGCATTTGAGAAATCCCAGATGATATCTTTGAAACAAAAGCATGCCATTACTGATATTGAAAGACAAAAGAAGTCCAAACCTCAGGATGATTACCTTCAGAAGTCTTTTAATAATCTCTTCTGTTTTTTCTATTATTCAGAGGAATACATCCATCCACCAAGTAAAAGTGTGCACACACACTCACAAAAACAAAACAAAACAACAAAACACCTAAGAAATACCGAAATCCTCCTGGATTCACAGTAGCTGAACTGTGGAACCAAGTTAGATGCCTTTCAATAGATGAATGGTTAAGGAAACTTATGTATATGTGGTATATATAAAAAATGAACTATTATTCAGCCTTAAAGAAGAATGAAATTATGGTATTTGCAGGTAAATGGATGGAGTTGGAGAATATCGTGCTAAGTGAAGTAAGCCAATCACAAAAAACCAAAGGCCAAATGTTTTCTTCGATATGTGGATGCTGATCCACCATGGGGTGGATGGGGGCAAGGGAAAAATGGGGAAGCTTTGGACTGGACAGATGGGAGTGAGAAGAGGGGAGGGGGTTTGAGGGTGAAAAAGATAGTGGAATGAGATGGACATCATTACCCTACATGCAGGTATGATTGTACGAATGATGTGACTCTGCATAGTATATAACCAGAGAAATGAAAGGTTGGGCTCCATTTGTGTACAATGAGTCAAAATGCATTCTGCTCCCATGTATAACTAATTGGAAGAAACAAGAGAGAGAGAGAGAGAGGGGTGTGGGGGAATACCTAGGAAAGACCTAAATCTTCCTGGAGCAGTTAGCATGATTTTAAAACCCATTTCCAGTCCTCATGCTTCTGACTTGTACCATCTTTGTACCTGTGGCCTGTCTGAATGTTTTTTTATGGGCAATATACTCACTGTTCTATTAGCTTAGCTATGATCTCCCTTAAATCTTGGACACTTATTATTCTCTTAAGACAATTTTAGAGTTTCCCTTTGTGAGTTGAACTGTGGTCATGTTTAATGGTCACCTAGGTCATCTTTTACAGCAACCAGACCTTTCCTTGTTTGTCTGTCATCCGCCCTTCCAAGACAGGAGACATTCAGAAGCCTGTGCCTTCTAATTCCTCTACATTTACTCCTAACAGAATGGGACAAATTTATAGAGTCAAAGAAGAAACTAAAAAGCAGCTAGAAGATGTCTCCAGACATGGCCCCAGGTTTAGTTGAGGTGTCAGCTGCGTCTTCCTCCCATATTCTCATTTTCCTTGAGGCTGTTCTTTTGTGACCCATATATTCTTTGCCTCAATAGCCAGGGAATGTTACCCTGCCTCTTCTCTATGGTCCATCTCTCTCTCAACTGCCTGGTGCCAGCCATTTTATTAGATTCCTTCCTTTTTCCCATAGGAATCTTTTCCTTCCTGGATCTGTCTTCAGTGCACAAACTCATTCCATCCCTGTTTTGCCTTCTCTTCTTCTACTTCTCTTTTTAGGGTTTTGTAGTTTTCATTGTATAAATCTTTCACTTCTTTTGTTAGGTTGATTCCCAAGTATTTTATTTTTTTTGAGGATATTGTGAATGGAATGTTTTTCTTCATTTCCGTTTCAGAAGTTTTGTGGCTGATATACAGAAATGCCTTTGATTTATGCATGTTGATTTTATATCCTGCCACTTTGCTGAATTCATTTATTAGTTCTAGTAGTTTCTTTGTAGACCCTTTTGGGTCTTCTAGGTACAGAATCATGTCATCTGCAAATAGTGATAATTTAAGTTCTTCTTTTCCTATTTTTATGCCTTTAATTTCTTTCGTCTGTCTAATTGCTCTGGCCAGTGTTTCGAGAACTATATTGAATAGAAGTGGTGATAGAGGGCATCCCTGTCTTGTTCCAGATTTTAGGGGGAATGCCTTCAATTTTTCTCCATTGAGAATGATGCTAGCCTGAGGCTTGGCATAGATAGCTTTTACAATGTTGAGGTAAGTTCCTGTTATCCCTAGTTTTTCTAGTGTTTTGAACATAAAGGGATGCTGTACTTTGTCAAATGCTTTTTCTGCGTCTATTGAGATGATCATATGGTTCTTATAGCAACTGTTCATTGTATTAGGTCTGGATGTTCCTTTCATTTTGGCTTTCACCTACTCTCAGGCTGCCTTTTCCTTCACATTTCCCATTACACTTCTTCTTTCCTCTCTTCTCCTTCTGTCTATCAGGTTCCCACAGAATGCTATAGCCAGTCCTTCTGCCTTATTCTCTTCATCCTTTGCACACCTCCATTACTTCCATTTGCTCCCAAAGGGCCCTATAGACAGAATACAGCCCTGCCCTTGCACTTACCTCTGCCACCTGTTGAGACCATCTGGGTCTCCAGCATCCTTCTACATCACGTCTACAATACCTTCACAAATGTGGAAACACATTGTAAGACTCTCTCCTCACATAGGCATCGATTTCCATCCTGTTCTCTTTCCTTTTCCATACGGGTATCCTTATTTTGCAGAAGCCATCACAGACACAGGAGCTTTTCTCACTGCTGAGGTGGTTCCTGTCTTCTTCTCATCAATTGCCCGACTCTAGCTTGAGTCCCACAGACCTCCTTCCTGTGCCAGCCCAGCTCCAATGTCTCTCTTTTCATTCTAAATGTGGATGTGACCCTCAGAGAACTCATCTCCCACATTTTCTTTCCCTATAGTTTTCCAATCTCCCTTTGCTTCCTCTTCAGCATCCAGTCTTAATTTTCTCTGCCAGCCTCTTGTCAATCCATGCAATCCCTTTATGTCTGTGGAAAATTAAAAGAGTGCCTCTAGTTAGATTAACAGTTCACTTTTGAAAAGGGGAATGGGGCACTCAGAAACATACAGAAATGAGTGCTTTAAAGCCTTTGAACCCACTTTTGTGGTCATAGGCTTGAGAAACCATTTGTTTTCCTCTTATATTACATTCTTTACTGGGCACAGTCCTCTTTTTAGTAGTCAATTCAGAGTATATGCATAAGTATCAAGCAGAAACTCAACTCCCTCTCTAGCTATATCAAAGGGAACCAAGGGATCCTTGGAAGAAATCTGGTTTGTATTGCAATGAACCAGCTGGGAAGCCCCTTGGCCCTGTCAGTCTTCAACTTTTGCCAGGAAAAGCTGATAAGAGTCAGGTTTGTCACCTACACTCCATTTCTGGGAACAGTTTGAGCATTCCCTCTTCCAATCCCCCCCTCCTTTTTTTTTCAAAATGCACACTGGTCTAGTCTTAACCTTGCTGGTCATCAATAGGTTCCTCATTGAGGGCCAGTGGTACTTATCTATAGTGGCTTTTTCATTCCTCCTGAATTATCTAGAGTAGACTGGATGGCAATATGGCATACTGCTTTCTTCTTTAATTTCTTGGGCCACATCTCTGTTGTTGAAAACCTTGAAGTCAATCTCTACAAGTTGAAAAATATTAGCTTATGGTCCCACAACCAATTGTTGGAGGTGTTTTCCCCCCCCCCTCACAATCAGGAGAACTCTCAGATATGAAGTAACTATTTAGGACTATCAGCTATTGTCTCTCTCAGAATTCCAAGAACTATACCTTTGGAGACATTCTCATGACCTCTGCATGAAGGCTAAAGAATTTCCACCTGGCCTCTGCTCAGTTTACCTGATTGTTCCTTTTAACTGGGGGTTGCCTAACCTCTTGCAACTCTTTGAGGAGTATAACTCTATAATGCTCTAATCAGCATGCCCTGCAGCTCCTTTGGTATCTTTGGACCCACTATTCAGCAGGCAGCCAAATGTGGCTGTCAGGCTCAGGAGAACGCTGCTTATCAGCTTCCTTTCTGGCCTCTGCCAGCCCTGTCAATTTTTCTTTTCTAATCAGGAGGGTCGATGGAGGTGTTTAAACATGTGTCTCTATAGGGTTGTGCTTTGTAAAGATAGTCTGCACAAGAGTGATAAGTCCTCCTGGGCCAGTTCTCAGACTTGGGTACTTGCCTTCCAGTTGTATAAGTCAAAAGCAGTGAAAGGAACATGTATATAAATAAGATTCTCTACTCCATTTAGAAACTGTCAGAGGGAAAAAAAAAACTCCACTGCTTGGTTTATAATTGATTCCATAACTAGAGGTGCTGTCATGAAGAGGAAGGCATATAGAATTAGGTGATAGTATACAATGGGCAATAATGAAAGAGATGCCCTACCAGGTTCCTTCTGGTTAACTCCCTCTACCCAACAACTTTTACCCAGGTGTATATATTTTTTTAAATTTTGGTCCACAGGTGATTTCAGTGCATTGAAACTAAACTTACACAATGAGGTTGAGGTAGTCCTAGAAAAAAATAAACATGATTTCCTCTAAAGCTCTAAGAGTTGATTTCTTTTACCTTGATGCAAATCTCCAAAGTCTGTCCAGCCAGGATGGAGATGGCTTGCTATCTCCCAGGCCAAGACAGACATATCTTCCAATCTCTCAAATCTGTAGTGAGGTTTTTCTGTTGTCAAGCATCCCTGATTAGTCTCCCTTTCAGTACAGAGATATCTTCTAATCTCCTAAATCTTTAATTGCTGACATCTGGATTGGAGATGTCTTATAATTCCCCAGATCTCCAGGAAAGATTTCTTTCATTTTTCCAGACTTCTCTCTACCTGACCCTTAGGTGTACTTTCATCTTTCATTCTATTTCTGTATTTCTGTTAGCTGGCTTCAGGGTCTAGCACTGCTCACCAATCTGAAGGATCTTCTAAACATGAGGTTCAAAGTGGTCCCTAAATGCACCTAGGACAATGATATTGCAAAGCTGATGATTCGAGTACCAAGAAGGTGTGTCTCCTGCCTGCCTAAAACTCACTCTCAGTAACACACTAATGTTATCCTGGACAAGATCATTTCTATACATGGATATAAGAACATAAATACTGGAAGTTGGAGACTTTAAGTCATTATGGAAATTATACATACAAAATTCAAATAAATCCACTATTAGTGGAACATTTATAACCTTAATATTTTAAGAACAAGACTGAAGTAAATGATCTAAACATCTATTTCAAGAAGTTACAAAATGAATAGTGAAGACATACGTAGAAGGAAGGAAATAATTAAGATAATATTAGAAATAAGTTTAAAAGTGAGCAAATTTGTAACAAGAAGGATAAACAAAAACTTTGTTCATGGTGAATCAACAGTTTTGTACATCTTTAGTCAGAAGAAAAAAGAGGGACAATAAACAATATCATCAATGAAAAAGATACTGTCCTTATGAAGAAGATGTTATGAATATATTATCAGCAGCTTTATGCCAATAATGTAAAACTTTATATTCATATAGCTATACAAAATAAACTAAAAAAAATAGAAAAACAATGTACTCGCATTATTACCAAAAGCATTGAGAGAGTAGTGAAGTATGTTTCCTCAACAGAAACTCAACAAGCTTCATTAATAAGTCCTGTCAGATTTTTTAAAACTAACAATTTTCAAAAATAATCAAGTTGTTCAAAAAATACAATAAGAGAAAGCATTACAAAAATCAACTTATGTAGCTATTGTAACCTGTCTAACCTAAACACCTGCAAAAATATATAAAAATTAATTTATTGATACAGATACAATTATCCCTACAAAAATATTAGCAAATTTTCCTTTAGCAATATGTAAAGAATATAATGAGTTTATTCCTGAAATACAAGGTTTAATATTGGAAATTAATTAATATCAGCCAAAGTATTAACTTATCATAGAGAAAATAAATGAATAAATAAATATATTAAGAGAAATAGAAAAACACTTGATACTATTAACATCCTTCATAATGAACAATTTGGCATAGACATATCTCAAAGGGGCTTTTTAACCTAAGTGTACTATGAAAGAGTATCAAGCTAACTTCAGATTTATTCTGGATCATTGAAAGTTATCAAAACCATAGAAGTCCTACAAATCGACAGAAAAGAATTAACTCAAAAGGAAAAATGATTGCATTTGAACACTCTTTTTATAGTAGGAAATTCAAACCAATATATATGAAAAAGATCAGCTTCATTAATAATTAGATATTCCCACACATGATGCAATAGTTCTACATGTACTATTTTGGCAAAAATTATAAATTTTGACAGTATCAAGTGGTGA